ACAGCAGCTGGGGCCAAGGCAGGCAGGTTCTGGCTATGTTTCTGTATGCTATGGGGCTTGCTGATCAACCTCTTCATGTAGGAGTGAGTGAGAGATGGGGTGCGGGGGTGGGGTTGGGGGGGAGGCAATGCGGGAGGGGAGAGGAGGAAGAAGGGGAGGAAGACTCCCAGCCGTCTGATCAGAGCAGCTGGGACACTGTTGGTACCATTCCTAAGGGGGAGGTGGGAGGAGGAACAGGTTTTGGGGAGTTATGAATTAAATTTTGGATGCCCCCTGTTTGCGAGGCATATTGGACATCAGAGTGGAGATGCGCCAGGCTGGATATGTGAGTGTGAAGTCAGGGAAGAGGTCAGGTTGGAGAAACAGACACACAATCTGGGTGTCATGGATGCTATGACGGTTGTGGCACTGGGTGGGATGGAGTTGGTGTTGGAGGAGAGGCCTGAAGACTGAGTCCTGGTCAATAGCCCATCAACCTTGGACATGGTTATTTGTGGACTTGTTGTCTCTCCTCTTCCACATTCTAAGCTCCTTAAAGTTTGGGACCCTGTCTGATACGTCTCTGCTTTTTAGTCCCTTAATAGTGGGGGAACTAGCTGAACTAACGGCTGGGACCCATAGACTTGGAGGCCAGGATTCAGGGTGCCCAATGAGACTGTGCATACATGCAGAGATTCTGAAACCTTAGCTGAAAATCAGATCTATCTTTTAATTGCTACATGGTCTTAAAAAGGAATCTCATTAAACACAAATATTTAAAAATTCCTGTAAGACAGACTGTACCTTTATTTTGGGAAAACAGCCAAATTGGCTGTTTATTGGTAAAGGATATTTAATTTAGAGATATTTACATTTTCTACCATATCCCCAGTCTTTAAGGTTCATTAAAAATCACTTAATAATTGACATTTTTGTAACGTTTTCAGTTTGCAAAACAATTTTGCAAACGGCTCTTTGATTTAGTCCTTACATTTTCTGATACAGGTAACAATAGAAATCCCTAGTGTTTAGCATTTTATGTGGCAAAACACTGTCATTTACGTGCATGATCTCAGTTGTTGTCTGTACTTTTGTTCTTCATTTGCACGAGACTCACACTTCAGCAAGAGCTGCAGTTCTCTGGATGTGATGTCCTGGCCCACATTTCTATGTCTGCATAGGTGTCATCTGAACATATCATACAGGCTCACATTTGCGCGTGGATGCATGTGTCATTTTTCTGTCTGTGACTTCCTTTCTGTCTTATCCCACCAAGGAATTTCTACTTACCCTTCACCCTGGGAGTAGATTTTGTACCTCTCTTAGAAGAAAATGAGGCTGAGATGAGTTTAGGGAAGAGTCTGAGGGGAACGTGCCTGAGCTGTGTGTTCCTCCAGCGTGTGGGCAGCCAGGTGTCCTGCTGGCCCCGTAGGGTTTAAACCAGTGGCATGGCTCTGTCCCCATTTAGGGGGCACCTCCTGAATCCTGCGTGGAGCCATCCAGAGTCCTGTTCTTTAGTATCTATTTTTCCATCCCTGAATGAAAAGAACACGGCTATCTAAAAGCAAACAAATGAACATAAAGACAGCTAGCTTCATTTCTGCAAGGCACCTGCTGCTGGAAGGAAAGCCTGCCACGCTTTTGGTTTATGAGGAGACATTCAAGTTTAGCTTTTTCAGGCACATTTTTCATAGTTACTTCGCTGCTGACAGCTCATTTTCCCTTCCACCTCCCTCCACCCAAGCCATCAGCCCCACTCCTTGTCTCCAGCATTCTGCTCAGGGCTCGGAATCCCTGGACCCACACTGGACGCTGCACACACCTTCTCCCCTGCCAGTCGCTAAGCCTTGGTGATTCTGGGCTGATTGATTTCTGCATCTTCCCCCTCCCCAGCCAAGAACATGAGCTCATTTTTATGTCCCTTGGTCTCCCCTCGGCAGCTCCTATTGCATGGCTATGATCGAGAATTGGAATTTTGGGCTATGAGGAACATGTTTTGTTTGGTCTTAGCTTTTTAAAAAAAGACAACACAGGCCAGGCGTGGTGGCTCATGCCTGTAATCCCAGCACTTTGGGAGGCTGAGGCAGGCGGATCACAAGGTTGAGAGATGGAGACCATCTTGGCCAGCATGGTGAAATGCTGTCTCTACTAAAAATAAAAAAATTAGCTGGGCGTGGTGGTGTGGGTGTGGGGTATCTGCCTGCAGTCCTGGCTACTTTGGAGGCTGAGGCAGGAGAATTGAACTTGGGAGGTGGAGGTTGCAGTGAGCTGAGATCGCGCCACTGCACTCCAGCCTGGCGACAGAACGAGACTCCGTCTCAAAAAAACAAAAAAGGATAATACAAATTGACCTTGTGTTTGGTCACCTTTACTTCACATCATTCTCATAGCGACTCCTGGATTTGCTGTTCCTTTTATTTAACCACGTCCTTTAAAAATGTTCTTGGTGTGGGTCTCTGGCCAATCTCCCGAGGCCTTGTAAGCCTGAGGACATTTTTATCTCGTCCCTTCTGTTTACGTGAGGGTCTGGCTGGCTTTAATGTTCTTTTCTTCTAGATTTTGAAAATATCAGTGTCTCTCCTGTCTGTGCTGCTGCTGAAAGGCCCCAGTCAGTCCTGTCCTGCTGGGCGATGCAGCTGGGTCTTCTGCCCCAGTACCTTTAGGATGCTGTCTGTGACCTCAGGTGTTACACCCAGGTATCTGCCGGCGAGTTTTCCTGTAGTTTCCATTCTTTGACATCTGTGGACTCTTTCACCTGCAGCTATCCTCTTTCCTCAATTCCAGGAAATTAATATTCATGATTTCTACACATATTTTCTCCTTGCACTTTTACTATAACTTCCTTTTGGGATTCTTATCGGCTGTGTTGGCACGGCTGCTCACCCTGGTCTCTCAGCTCTTCCTTTGCAGATCCTGTCTCTTCGTCCCTGCTTTCCTCTAAGTGCGTTCCTCAATTTCACCTCCAGACAGCAGCTAGCGCCTCGTCCACGTCCACATTCTCCGATCCACCCCATCGTGATCTTTCTTTCCAGGACTCGAGTTTCACCTCAGTATTTCTACCTGCTTCTGTTTTATGGTTTCATATTCTTATTCATCCTGGGAATATCTGCCACCTCTTTGATGGCATTTTTTATATTCACGTGTGAATTCTTGGTCCGTCTGTTCCCACCCTTCAGAGCCTTGCTGTTTGGCCCCGGGAGCAGTCGCTGGGAGGACACCTTCTCCTTAGGACCACCGTCAGTGCCCCGTTCCCTGGCCAGGCTTCTGCATGTTCCTGATTTACTCCTGGGGATGCTGGCACCAGCTGTCCAAGTCCACCAGAGGGGACTGACCGTCCCTGGGCCCTGGCGGAGGAGAACAGAATTCCAAGCGCTGGGTGTCCCGTGGAAGCCTCTGCTCCAGCCGGCTGGCTCCCCATGTGCTGCTCCGCCATGCCTCTCCCAGCCTCTTGTCTTGATGCCTCTTGCGTTTTCTCCAGGGTCGTCTCTGCAGCAGCTCTCGGGACAGGGTTCAGAAGCAGCAGAAGCAGCAGCATCAGCCAGAAGCTCGTTAGAAACGCCCTGCACAGGCCTCCTCCCAGGCTTCCTGAGCCGGGAGCCCTGCAGTGGGTGGGGCCCAGCACTCTGCAGCTGGCCTTCCTGGCAGCTCTGATGCCCAGCTCTGCGAGGAATAGGTTCCGTAGATGCTTCCTTTCCATGTCCCCTGCGTTTCTTCTCTTTGCTCCTATTCTTCCTGCCCTAATTTGTTCCTTCCTCTCAGGCTCTTGTGGTAGCTCTGAGTCTCCTCCCATGGGGGCAATCCTTCCTCAGTCACGTCCTGGCCACAGCTGCCCGCTCACTAGCGCTAAAACACAGCCTTTATCCACTCTTCCTTGGAAATCTTCACTCTGACGAAATTAACGATAAATGCCCCTCCCCAGAATTCAAGGCTCTTTGGAAACCGCCCCGTCCTGCTCATTCACAGCTGTGTCTGCGCCTCACCCTCAGTGGCTGTCAGCTCCCCCCCAACCTGGGTTCCAGCTTTTTGCACAGAATCCTCCTGCCCAGATGGCTTCATCCCATTGGTACATGATGAAGTCCCACGCACCCTCCCGACCCTGTTTCAAGTTCCTCCACCTTTGTGAAGACTGCATTGGGTTCATTCAGCCTTTCTTCTCTTGGGCCCCCAGCCCTTTGCACTTCACCTGTCATGTTCGGCTTTGCAGGCTTTTGTGTGCTTCCTGACTCTGGAGAGGCAGAGACCTTCCATGCAAATTTCTATTGAATGCATTGCCTACCTCATCGTCTTATGCATGTGGAGGCTCAGCATTGAATGAATTGAATAGTTTCCTAAATAAACTAGTGAAGGAGTACTTGCCCCAAACGAGTACTGAGTAAAAAGTAGACTAATACTAGCATTATCAGAAAATTGATGAAAGTAATTATTTTTATTAGAATTCAATTCGGAATTCTTGTAAATTATAATTTTCAGAGTAACAAATGTGTCTAACAGGTTAATGTAGAAGAGAAAAATGAACAAATGATATATTTGTTGAATGTTTCTATCTTGCTTTCTGTTGGATCGATCAAGAATAGTAAACTCAAAATCAAAGAAATAAAAAAAAAGTAGACTAATATTAGTCTTTTGGTACTTATAAAAATGCATATTATCTGCTAATACATCCTGGTTTGTTTTCAAAGTAGTTATAACAATATGAGCCAATTTGTGGTAATTTTAGCTGTTATTAGTTAAAATTAATTGAACACTAACCAAGAGTGTAACATGTTCTTGAGAGCCTCTGAGCACTTGTGTATAATTAAAAATACGCTTTAATTTAAAAAAATCTAAAAATGGAAAGCAGGTCTCATCCTGGAAGAGCAGCTCCCATTGGGATTAATTGGCCCATTTGGGTGACCCTGGCTTATGATGAGCGCTGTTTCTCCAGCGGTCCATGCACTAGTCACAGTGTCTGCACACATACCCCAAGCCTTGTGTTACTGATCCTCAAATCTCTATCCCATTTCTTCTTTCTGTTTTTGCAGATTGTTTACAATGGATGGGCATCTATTGGATAACTCAAAGGATTTGCAAGACAATCACTTTTATGTTGCTGCCGGGCTGGAGACCTTCAAGTATTTTCCTTACTGGAAGTCTCCGAGGGTGCCCAGCGAGGTCCAACAGTGAGCATGCTTCATACCTTCCCTTCCTGAGTGCTGGAAACAAATTGCCTTTCCCTAGCATCTCTCCCAAATAGGTCCAGTTCAGCTATTGGTTATTTTTCAGTGGTGAAATGTAATATTCTTACATATGATACAATTTTAGATTTTAAAAATGAGGTGTGGGGGAACTGCTCTTGTATGATGTATTCACAAGGACAGAAAGATCTGCGCTGGGTCTGCTGCTTTTCTCTGGGAAACCCGGAGTCTTAGAGATCGAGACTTGAAATGTGCAATATAGTTTCAGAGCCGATTCTAGGCACAGCATGGCTGCCCGTGGCGCACCCAGTGTGATGCTTTGTTTTCTTGATTTGGCTTGCTTTCCCATACCTAAAATACAGTCTGTGCTGAGTGTCGCTCTCTCCTGGTGAAAAAAGCCATGATTGTCGTAGTCATTCTGGGTGTGGCTAAGCGGGTGCCTCACTGCATGTGTGCTTATGGCCATGAAGCAGTGACCGGCAGGGAGATGAAGGGTGCAGAGACAGGTGGTCCCGGAGCCCATCTGTGGGATTCTTCATTCTCAGCTGTTCAGCCCTGACTGGTGTGTTTGAAATGCATTTCGAGTAGGACACGACTTGAGGGCTTACTAGGAACCTTCCTGGAGCTAGTTCGTCATCAAGTTTTTAATGGTTATTATCTCAAGCAAAGAAAAAGAGCTGTCATTTTCCCTCTCATTGTGGAGCAGGACAGATGGTTTGCACACCATGCAGGTGGCCAGCCTTCCTCTACACCTGAGGTTTTGTGGCACGAGCGCCTTCTGCATTTGGAGAGCTTGAACCTCCATTGAGGGCGCAGCGTCCGGGATGGCCTCCTCCCATGCTGCTTCATGTGCTGCTAGGGTTTGTCCTTCAAGGCAGAGAAAGGCTCCCTTTGTCCTGTCTACCGAGGACAACCCCACAGAGTTTGGTATCCAGGCAGATGGTTAGGTTGGAGTCCCACCTGCGTGCCTGGCACACGTGGCTATTTCTTGATTTTATTGACTTAATTCGTGCTAATAGTCCTGATGCACAGTGAGGAGAAGCACCTCGGGGCTGTGGAGTGGAGTCGTTCTTTCTACCTGCCCCTACGTGTTTCCCACCTCGCAATGTGTTTTGCTTTTTGCCATCATCTGTTCATCGGGAAGCCCTGACTGAGTCTGAGTGGCTTAAATGTCTTTTTCCTTTGCTGAAGTTGTTGAGCTTAGGGTCAACAGGAGGCTGCATGCCATCGTACAGAAACTGAAGCTCATGTGGCTTACACAGAATAGACCAAGGAGGTGCTGTTTTGCAGAGAATCCTGGGGTAGAAGCATTTCCAAATCTGAGTAGCAGCTGTTGGAGAAATCCTCACTAAAGAGGAACTGGAAATGGGATGCCTGCACTTGCAGAGGCGGCGGGTGGGCAGGGGATCTGGGCTGTGGTAGAAGGAGGATGGGCCATCTGATCTCCAGGAAGGAAATCCAGCAGATTCCTGGGGTGCTTTCTGTTTCTGAGGCCGGGAAATCACTGCTGCATGAGCCATGTCCCCTGTGGACAGCTTGCTCCTCCTCATGGTCACTCCCCTCCTAAAGACCAGGCAGCCTACATTTTATAGAGATAACTCCGCAGGGAGTTACATTTCAAGTTGAATATCTTTTGTCTTGCAGAAGGTATGCGAATGTTGAAAAACACCTACAGAGAAAGAAAAAAGTAAATAACGTTTTAAAACAAGTAAGTAACTTGTTCCTGATTCTGGCGCCTCCTGGCATTAACAAGGGCACAGTGCCGTGTGAGGACCTGGGCTGTAAACAGAGCTTCCTGGACCAGCATCAGTACCAGGCTTATAAAGAAAAAGCCGGTGCACTCCTGAGAATGGTGTAACAGAGAGGAAGTTTATGCTTGCAGCACAGAGCCCAGAGCTGAGAGGTACACACAGGCATTTGTAATGCAACCCAGTAGGTGTGAAGACAAAAATATATTTGAACTCTTATGAGACGAGAGGAGAGTAATTGATTCAAGCTCAGCATGAGTGGCAGTGGGCTCTGGTGAAGGGTGGGAGAAGGACATTCCAGGCAGATGTGGCAGTAAGGCAGCAGCGGGGAGAAGCAGCTCACTGCATGCGCATGTGTGTATGAATACATATGTGTATGCATGTACGGGTGCATGTGTGTCTAAATACGTGTGCATGGAGGCATGCATGTACATGTATGGATGCATATGTCTGTGAATATGAATATGTGTGAGTGGATGCATATGTGCATACGTGGATGCATGTGTATGTATGGATGCATGCATGTGTGCATATGCATACATGTGTGAGTGGATGTATATGTGTGTACATGGATGCATGTGCATATGAATACATGTGTGAGTGGATGCATGTGTGTACATGGATGCATTTGTGTGCACATGAATACATGTGTGAGTGGATGTGTGTGTACATGGATGCATCTGTGTGCATTTGAATACATATGTGTGAGTGGATGCATGCGTGTGTGCACATGAATCCATGTGTGAGTGGGTGCATATGCATGTACATGGATGCATGTGTATGTGCACATGAGTACATGTGTGTGCATATGAATACATGTGTGTATAGGTGCACATGTGTTTAGTTGCATATGTGTATATGCATGTGTGTATAGGTGCATGTGTAAGAATGCATGTATGTATATGTATAAATACATAAGTGTGTATGGAGGCATGCATGTATATGTATGAATGCATGGGTGTATGGAGGCATATGTGTGCATGTGTGCACATGAGTACATGTACAGATGTACATTCATGTGTGAATGTGCATGATGCATATATGTGTGCATATGATGTGTATGTGTATACGTATGTATGTTTGGAGGTATGTGTATGGATGCATATGTGCATGTGTGCATGCATACACATGTATATATGATGCATGTGTGTATGGATGCGTGTGTGCACGTGTGTATGTATGCACATGCATGTATGTGTATGCATATGCATGTGTGTGTATGAATGCATATGCATGTGTACAGAGGCATACATGGGTGTGCATATGAATACATTTGTGTGCATGGATACATATGTGTGTGTGTATGCCTGTGTACCTATGTGTATGGATGCATGTGTGTGTGTGTGTGTGTGTTTGCTAATCAACACACGATTTGAAGTTGCAGCATAAAGCATGAGGATGAATGACAAGGAGGTATCAGGGTACAGGACTACACAGGTATGCAGAAGCTGGATCCTAGAGGGGCTGAGAAGTCCTTATAACATGTTTATGTGATTCTCATATATCCCTGACCATCCTACCAAAGCTGTCTTTTAGTGGTTCAACTGACATTAATATTTATTCGACAAAGCTGTTGAACGCATACCCTTGCCAGTGTCTGTCTGCCCGGCTCACAGGCTTGAATGCCCTCCCTACTGTGACACACTGGTTTTGAGGGTCCACATTGTCCTGGTCTGTTCTTTCCCAGTAACTAACAGCCCCGGGCTTTGCTTTTCTGCTGCTGCAGCTCAGGTTTCATGATTGCCATTTTAATCACCCTCCTGCAAATAGCTTTGATTTTCTCACCCGTGAGGCACCGTGTGCATCTGGCGTGTCTGGCCCAGGGTGAGCGCCCTGCACTTCCCCCGCACTTGCACTGACGCAGCCTGCTGCTGCTGGAGGTAATGACACTGCTGACCTGAGTCTTCACGCCGAGTTCACGACCACGGTCCTCATCCACCTTCACTCGCTGATTAAGCCTTATGTTTCAAAAAATGTTTTTCTGAATATGTTTTGCTAAGCTTTGTCGGACATTTTTGCGTGTCTGCTCATGAGTGAGGAGGGCCTGTCTGACTTCTTTCTCACGTTGTCCTTGTCTGGCTTTTGCTGCCAGGGCTTTTCTTCTGAATCGACTCGTTATTTTTTGTAGCTTCTTGAGTCAAATGATCGCCTTATTTATTTGGATTTTCTTTTTCTAGGAAATGCATTTTAATATTAGGTGTTTGTTGAATGGACGAATGAATGATGATCATTGAGAATGCAAAAATGATATGCCTTGCGATATTCATTGTCCCATATATAAAGGTCTACATCTGTAAAGATGTGTTATCTTAGAACTCAGTATTAATATTTTTTGGCTTCATTTGAAGAGCGGGTGTGTTTCTAAGAATGAAAAGAGTTCCACACACAGGACTTCTCTGAGGCTTGAGTTTATGATGAGTTGTAGCAACTTAGCCATTTATGATAAATGTGTTTGTTTCTTTACTTGCTTGCCCCTGGTTTTCCATTTCTAACTTGCTAAACCTCTTTTGTCTGTTTTCTATGTGAACTGTCACAGCATCTTTTTGGAAAAGAAGGTACAAAATAAAAAATAAATTACAGGAGTGACCATCCGTTAAGATATTGCCTTGTGGAATATGGGGGGCTGTTGGGACCCTTGGTGATGTGAACACACTCATAACATCAGCCAATCAAAGTAACAGCTTTTCCTAAAATTGGATGCTGGATTTTCTTTTAAATTTGCAAGCTTAAAAAAAAGTACCTAGAATACAAAGCAGAAAGTCTTTCTTGACCCTTCAATGAAGAAATCACAAACATGACCTAGAACCTGTGATCCCCAGGATATCAGGCCTGAACGGGGCACTTGTTGATTCCTCTGGTCGTCCAGAGGCCATGGTGAGTTGTTGGAAGTATGCCAAGCACACCCTGCCAGCATGAGAGACACGAAGATGAGGGAAGCGTAAGTTTCCACAATTGGAGAAGTCAGAGTGTCAATAAGCGTGACAGTAACCTAGCGGGCCTCATCTAGCCCTCCTGCTCAGTGAATTAAATCCCAGTAATTAAATCAACCCAGATTCCACCAGCACCAACACCTCCCCGCCTCCACAATTCCAACAAACCAGTGATGCCTCTCCCATAAACTGTTTAACTTCCACATCTGCCTATGTCTCCCATCAACACTGCCCAATGGAGTCAGGAAGAAACACCTAATACCCATGGTGGGAAAGCACTATGAGAATGGGCAGGTAGGGGGTCGGGGAGCTGGGCCCCCCAGGAAGATGTTTTTATTTGCAGGGATCCAGATATAAGCAAGGGAGTGCAGTGGATCATATCTACTTGATACTCACTACTACTGATAGAATAAATTGTATGGACTGGAAAGGGAGCAAAATATACATTCCCAGTGAGGTGACAGGTGGAGCAGAGCAGTGGGACGTGGGAGATGCTGTGTATCATGGATTCTATGGAGGGCACGTTCCCACATCCTGACATCCCTGGAACAGGTGCAGCTGACGTTGACGGTGTCTCAGGACTCCTGTTGGCAGCCACGTTGCAGGTGCTGGTTGCTCATGGAGAAACTTGGCTGTAGCTGCTCATCTGACTGTGTCTTCAATTGAGTTGGGGATGGGGTTGATTCTGTACATGTTGAGTTTAACTGCTGTGTAAAATGTTCTCAAAATGATTTTGCTATGACAAAGAATTTAAACAAAAAGTTACTATATACATAGAAAGGCCTAAAAGTAGAACATCAAGATGCAAATTTGCTATCCATTGAGTATATTCTTCTTCAATTCTTCTATTCTTGCAGAGTGGCAACCAGCTCTGCAGGACCTGAGACAGTGAGGTAGACACACAAAGGTGCAGCTTCCAGTGTCAGTGATCTACGTGGTATAATGAGCCACCCCCAAACCAGGGGCTTCAGGCAACAAGGGCTATGATTTCTTTAAGTTCTGTGACTTGGCTGCACAGGTCTTGGGCTGGTTTCACTTTGGCTGCTTAGGAGGCTGTGTTCAGTGGAAGGTTTGCTGGATTGGGATATTCCCGCTGGCCTCACCAACACGTCTGGCAGTGAGTGCTGGTTGTTGAGCATTTTGGTTCCCTTCCACGTGGCATCTCATCTTCCAGCAGGATGCTGCAAACTAGCTCAGATCTCAGGAGGTGGAGAAGTAGGCTCTCCCTCAGCAGAGGAGCACGGAAGAGCTGATTCGCTTTGTAAACCTGTGTGTAGCCTGAGAGGGAAGGGCTATGTGGCCAGCAAGTGACCAACCACGTTTGGGTACGTTTTGTTCCTGAGAGTGGTGCAAAAGGATTGCCTCCCACTCTGCGGGACATAAAGCACCAGCACCGAAATGTGCAGATCAGATACCAGCGACTTGGAGGCTCTTCAGAGATGACGGTGGGGCAGCCTTCCCACGCTATGTGCAGGAGCACGGATGCCTTTGACTCGCAGTCAAAAAGTGGCTCGGAAGAGTGAGACTCTGGAGGTAAAATCTTGGGGGTATTCAGGTGATTTGTTCCTGTTATATTCTCATTTTTCTTTAAGTACAAGCATGCTATGTCATAAAAATGGGTATCTAAATGGTTCTAGAAGGGCTTTTTCAGTAAGTAGAAAATAGAACTTCCAGGAAATTAAAGCACGGCGACATGCTTTAAATAACACGTCTGTCCTTTCTTAGTGGTACGAAAAATAGCTATGTGTTTGCAGTATGATTCATGGAATCCTGATTCAAAGATGTGAGATGGAGAATAACAGAGTAATGTGGCACCTCAAGATGACTGTGGAGGAAGTGGGAGAAGTCAAGGCTGACCTCAGAATTCCAGGGATGGCAGGAGGATGGTGCATTTAGTAGCCGTGATTAGGTCTGCAGGAGGACGAAGCAGGACTTGGGGTTGTGCATTTGTGTGAGAAGTTGCTTAGCTCTAGAGGAGCACGTTTATTACATGAGAGTGGAGGGATGTGTGAGAGATGATATTCATGCAT